CTTCCTCTCTTCTTTCCTCCCTTCCTTCCTCTCTTCTTTCCTCCCTTGCTTCTTCCTTCTATCCCTCCCTTCCTTCCTACATGAGGCCTTAATTGATTTTCCTATTTGTTAGCACTCTTTCACTCCTGAAATTAATTTCATTTTACCTTTTTTCAATTAACGAAAAAATTTTTTCCATTCACCTCTCATTCCCCTTCTTCATTGGAAAGAAAGAAAAAAGCAAAACCCTTGTAACAAATATGCATATTCAAGTAAAAAAAATCCCACATTGACCATGTCCAAAAATGTGTGTCTCATTTTGCATCCTGAGTCCATTACCTCTCAGTTGGGGGGGGGGGGTTGGGGGATTGGTGCTTCCTCATTGGTGCTCTGGAATCATTACATTGATCAGAGTTCTCAAGTCTTTCAAAGTTGTTTGTCTGTACAATGTTGATGTGATAATATAAATTGTTCTCCTGGTTTTTCTTGCTTTATTCTGCATCAGTTCATAGAAATCTTCCTGAGTTTCTCCAAACCAATCCTTTCATCATTTCTTATGACCCTATAGTATTCCATTATATTCACGTATCATCCTTTGTTCAATCATTCCCCCCATTTGATGGGTAGCACTTTGGCACCACAAAAAGAGCTGCTGTGAATGTCTCTTTTCCTCTTTCTTTGCTCTCTTTGGGGAGCAGGCCAGTAGTTCCTCCCCTTGAAGTTATTTTGTGTTTGCTTCTTGTGTCCATGTTGTTTATGAACCCATCTCGGTAAGCCTCTTGAGGGCAGCAGCTACCCTCTTTTTATCTTTGTCTCCCCCGCCTCCCACCTCCCAGTGCCTTGTACAATGCCTAGCACTTAGTAAACACTTTAAAAATGCATATTGATTGAATGGTGTTTTCCTTGATTCCACATGTCCCTCAGCTGTTTCCAAAAGCAGTTCTGTGCTCAGCCCAGGCCACCTTTAGTCACTTTGTTTGTCTTTTTGTGCAGATGCTTCTCTGGAGACTTAGACAAAGGGGGCATTTTTGAAACCACTCAAGTAAACCAAACCCTGCAGTGCCTGAGTGTAATTATTTTCAACCTTCCCAGAAAAGTAGTTTAAAGATCAGTCGGGAAGTCAAGCTGCCTATTTTTTTTTTTTTATCATCCTCCTCCAGCCTTTGGCTGCTGGCGCAGTATTTGCCTGTCTCA